GGAAAGGCTATCAACAAACTATTGATATGTTTAATATTTCTAGAGAAAATACTGTGTAATGTAAAAAATAGTATAATGATTTGTGATGTAAAATGGAAGTGACATTACATACTTTAAACTAAAAATGAATTACTACTGAGAATCTGTTTTGTGCTGTTAATATTTTGTATATTCTTCTCTCATCTTCAAAGCACACTATTCAGAGTAATGTGCCTCATTAGTGTTTAAATCTCTTACCTGATACAGATTGCTACTCAGTCTACTAATATCATGTAGCTGTTACACATGGTTTCCTGATGCACAAATCAACAGAATAGCTATAATGAATTCAACTTTCTTACACCACAGCAACTGTAGAGACCACAGCTCCAAAAAATAGAAGATCACAACTTGCAGCTTTCTGAAGTCACAGTCTCACACACAGACACTGTACTCGTAGACTCTCTAGTATCTCACACACAGTCTGTTACGGTCACCATCCTCTCCTCCAGAGGGCACTCCAACCTCCTCATGTTAACCTTTTAAATTACTTGCATTATTTCGTGGTGTGCCTTGTTTTAGTTTTCATATTTAAGTTTATGCCTTCGTGCTTTCGGGGCTCATGTGCTTTTGGTACATGGCAGCCCGATGGCCCGCCTACCACCAGGCTTCGGGAGGAAGCCTGAGGGCCCAGGTCTGTTTCCGCTCCCTGACCCACTGAGCCTTATAAGAGAGTCCCTAATTTCCTGGATTCTCGTCTGTGTTCCTGTTCGTCTGCGTCTCCTGATGGATCTCCCGGCAACTGACTAATGGACTGCTTCCTGACTTCCACTTGAACTTCCCTGGATTTTCCCCACACATCTGCACAAACTTCCCTACTTCACTGTGAACACCAATAAACCCTGTGTGTCTTCCCTGAATCCTGTCTATGGTCCTTTTCCCGGAATCGACGCCTCATCACCTTCCACAGAAGACCAACCGACTCACCAGTATCTCACACACAGTGACTTGAAGTCATGCCACCTGCAGAAGTTCTCAGATGACTTTACAATTCTGGGATGTATTGAGGGTGGGCTGGAGACAGAGTACAGAGGACTGGTCAAAAGCTTTGTGGAGTGGTGTGACAGATCAACATGGCTAAGACCAAGGAGTTGGTGGTGGACTTCAAGAGGAAGAAGGCCCAACCTACTCCTGTCTGTGTACATGGGAGTGCCGTGGAGATGGTTAACTCATACAAATACCTGGGCATCCACATTGATGACACACTGGAATGGACCAACAATACTGAGGCCATTTACAGGAAGGGTCAGAGCTAACCTTACTTTTTGAGGAGGCTCAGGTCCTTCAATGTGTGTAGTGATATGCTTCTAATGTTCTACCAGTCTGTCATAGCGAGTGTCAGTGGTGTGCTGTGGCTCTGGGATTAGAGTGGGAGATGCTAATCGGCTGAACAAGCTCATCAAGAAGGTGTCCAAATTAATATCCATCGTGGACAATGTCTCCCACCCCCTCCATGACATGCTTGTTGGAATAAAGAGCATGTTCAGCAACAGGCTGATCCTACCACGGTGTGACAGGGAGCATTGCAGAAGATCATGTAAGACTTTACAACCCAACCACAGTATGTCTGGACAGGGGCAACACTGACCTGTTGTGATACCATACTTGTACACCTGAAACCTGATTCCTCTGTAACAACTGGTGCTCTGTTTTACAGGTGTTCTGTCTACATCTGGTTTACAGAAGTGCAATACCTGGAAGTGGAATTCACAACTATTATTAACTATGCAATAGTTACCTACTCTGTGCAATGTGCTTGGGAGTGTGTGATATCTATACTGTGTATTACATCTTCCTTGTGTTCTGTTAATTCATACTGTTTTGTGTACGCTTTTTCTGTGTTGTTTCTAATTATTCAATTGTTTAAAATTTATTGTATTATATTACTGTATTACCACATTTGCACTGTACTGTGTTGATTGTGCCTGGCTGCTGTAGCACTTGAATTTCCCACATGGGATAAATAAAGTACCTATCTGTCTGTCTATCATCCCCAGTCACTGTGCTGCTACCAATATCATCAAAGAAGTTAAACAACGTTAAATTATGTGTTATATTTGGAATATCCATAAATATACAGAATATCCTGTAGACCTGGTATTAAGTACTTATCTCTCTCTCCACAGGTAGTGCTGATGTCATGCTGGTGAATGGAGCCAGTCCCTGTGAGGGGACAGTGGAGATTCACTATAAAGGAGAGTGGGGGACAGTGCTTAGTATTAACTGGGATCTGGATGATGCTGCAGTGGTGTGCAGAGAGTTGGTCTGTGGATCTGCTTTTTCAGCACCAGGAGGAGCTCACTTTGGCCCCGGGACTGGATCAGTCTTGCTGAGCGGGTTCAACTGCAGAGGGTCAGAGTCTGTGCTGAGAGACTGTGGAAACACTGAAGTGAAACAGTATAATTTCGCTCACAATGACGACGCTGGAGTGAGGTATTCAGGTAGGAGACACAGACTCTCTCCAGTCTCCAGCACTGAGATTAAAACTCCTCCACTGATCTAGAGTCAATCATCATGATCAATCTGTCTTCCCATTCTTACTGCTCCTGTCCTGCTGAGAGCTGTGATAACATTCCTCACTGTCACTGTGTTTCTTTCTACCTGTGTGAAGCTCAGAGGTAGAAATACAGACAGGAGACTCAGTCTGAGAGCAGTAGCAGGACATACTCCTCCTGTCTGCTGTCTGTCAGCAGAGAGGAGACAGTTTTACAGTCCACCTGCTAGATGGGCTGAAGCACAAGATTGACTCTCATAAGACAATAAACTATGTGACTATCTGACCTGAACAAATAGAATCCTGAACTCTCGATCAGTATGTCATGGGTTTCAGAGTAGTGACTTTTGTAATTTGGTTAAAATGCAGTCTGGCCACAAAACCACGTGATTTTCAATGCCTTCTCACTTTTCACCGAATCTTTTTTTGCCACTGTTAATGCTCCCTCTTATTACTACCATCTATGATTATCAATAAATAGTGTGAATATAATAAATGACTATTATAGTTGAGTAAAATATCATATGCTATTAATTATACAGTATTATAAGTGTAAATGAGTTATATGTTGTGAATATTATTTCTAGATTATTAAATATTTATCGCTCTTAATTGTGCAAGTGTTCAGGCACCTGTGTATTCAATTTAGGAAATGTCTTCTGCATTTGTGTGTTATTGCAGCTGGACAGATAAAAATATCTCTATCTCTCTGAACCTGTAGCTCATCCTGTTTCTCCAGCAACTGGGTCAAGGGGTCAGTGTATCTGGTCAGTTTCAGGTGTGCTTTAATGGTGTTTTGGCATCGGGTGTCAGTGGTTTTGGTTATAGTTTCAGGTGTGTTTGAATGTGTTTTGCTGTCAGATGTCAGTGGATCTGGTCAGTTTCAGGTGTGTTTTAATAGTGTTTTGGTGAAAGGAGCCAGTGGATCTGGTCAGTAGTTCTAGGAGTATTTTAATGGTATTTTGGTGTCAGCTGTCTGGATCTGGTCAGTATTAGGTGGATTTTAATGGTATTCAGGTGTCAGGTGTCAGGTGTCAGTGGATCTGGTCAGTTTCAGGTGTGTTTCAATGGTATTTTGGTGTCAGGTGTCAGTGGATCTGGTCAGTAGTTTTAGGAGTATTTTAATGGTATTTTGGTGTCGGCTGTCTGGATCTGGTCAGTATCAGGTGTATTTTAATGGTATTCAGGTGTCAGGTATCAGGTGTCAGTGGATCTGGTCAGTTTCAGGTGTGTTTCAATGGTATTTTGGTGTCAGGTGTCAGTGGATCTGGTTTCAGGTGTGTTTTAATGGTGTTGAGGGCTCAGTATTGTGGAGCTCAGTGCTGCAGTGGGCTGTGTGTCTGTCTACAGTGCTAACTGGCCCCAGGGCTGATTCTGTCTTAGCAGGTCTCCTCTGGTTTAATGACTCTCGGCTTGGATCAGACTAGCCCAGATTTAATTCAGAGATGAGCCGTCAGCACAACATTGCATATAAATAAAAATGAATTAGAACAGTTCTGTTGGGCTCAGTAGAGTATTATAATAATTTCAGATTTATTGTTTAAGACTGGACGTCTAACCTCTCTGCCATTATGTCACTGAGGTTTCTTCATGTTCTTGCAATGCTCTGTAGCCAGGAGATGACTGTTAGATCCTTGTATGTGTAGCTGGTGCTGGAAACACAACCTGTTCTTGTCCAGAGTGTCTGTATTTGCGGAGGTCAGACAGTTCTGCTCCAGCAGTGCCAGGCTGTGACAGTCCTGGTCTTGTCCAGCGTGTGTGTCAGTGCCCATGTCAGACAGTACTGCTCCAGCAGTGCCAGGCTGTGACAGTCCTGGTCTTGTCCAGAGTGTCTGTCAGTGCCAAAGTGAGACAATGTTGCTCCAGTAGTGCCAGGCTGTGACAGTCCTGTACCTTCTATTTTTATATGTTCCATAAGTGGAACATATAAAAATATTCTTCAGGACACTCCTGAAGACAGCACCACCTGGAATTATGGTGATGTAGTTTAAATGGTTCATAAATGTTCATGAGGCTTCAGTTTCTCTAACTGCCATTAAGACTCCAGAAGCTGCTCCTGCTGTCTGTCTTGATCTCAGTCCTCCTTTATTTTCTCTTAAGGCCTCAGTCTAACTCTCTGAATGTCCTTCTGCACCTCCTCCCTGCAGCTTTGTTGCCCTCTTCATATTAAATTTGAAAAAGAGATATTTTCTGATGTGACCAAGCTAATTGAAATACTTCTCAAACTTTTAGATTGAATGCAAATGACGATTTCAAGCTCTTTTAAATGTTAAAAGGTTGCAAATGTTTAAAACATCAAAACATTGTCATTTCTCAGAGTTTATTTTACTTTCATATACTGAATTATGCACACTGTTAAGGTGCTGTAATACTGTTAAAATTTGTATTATTGCTTTGTCACATGTCAGGAGTGCGGTTAGCAGGGGGCAGAAGTCTCTGCTCTGGCAGAGTCGAGGTTCTGCGAGGGATGTCTTGGGGTACGATCTGTGAGGCCGACTTTGAGATGAAGGACGCGGAGGTCGTTTGCCGTGAACTAGACTGTGGATTTCCAGCACAGCTGCTGAGAGGGGCTCATTTCGGAGAGGGGCAGGGGCCGATCAGGACAGAGGAGATCCAGTGTCAGGGAAATGAGACCAGAATCCACAACTGTCCCACCTCAACCAGGGAGCATCAGAGCTGCACTCACAGCAGTGACATCAGCCTGGTGTGTACAGGTGAGAGCACTGTTGTCTGTACTAATCCCCAGCTGTATAAACACTTCAATATCTCACTCTGAGCTGCTCCCTCAGCTATGACACCAGCCTGGTCTGTACAGGTGAGAGCACTGCTGTCTGAATTGATCTGCAGCTAAACACATCAATGTCTCACTCTGAGCAGTGTGAGCTAATTACATCTCTTCCTTATAGCTTTGCCCACTTATCTTTGATAACATTGTCTGTTCTACAGCACCATCATCTGGTTTAATCAAATACGTAAGGACAAATAATTCTGATTTTTATTTTATTTAGCATGTTCTTCCTCTTTAGAATACATTTTGTCACTTTTTAGATTTTTTTAATTTCTTGTCTGTTGTATCTCAGGGCACTGTATATTGTGCCCCAGACTAATATCTTTGGATCAGTCAGTGAGCTGCAGCAGGCAGTGGTCTTGTGGTCATGTGATTTCCACATTGCTTGATTCATCTTTGTCACAGTGCGAAAGATAATTAATTACTCTTGTGTATTGAACTTAAATATTCAATAAGTATGTATAATTATGAGAAGTTATTTTACAATCAACACACTGTAAAATCAATCATTATGACATTGTGTTCATACTGTACAGCTCCTGACTCCCCTGTCTTTTTATAAAGATAACAGTGTGTTTATGCTGTATAGCTCCTGAGTCCTCAGTCCTTTGTATAAAGACTAGAGTGATGTTAATATTGTACAGCTCCTGACTCGCCTGTCCTGTCTGCAGAATACAGTGCCTACAGGCTGGTGGGTGGCCCTGACTCCTGTTCTGGCTGGGTGGAGCTGCAGTACCGCGGTGAATACAGGACAGTGTGTGACCAGTACTGGGACCTGAGAGACGCCACTGTTCTCTGCCAGCAGCTGGGCTGTAGGGAGGCTGTAGCAGTTCCAGGACAAGCCTGGTTTGGACAGGACAATGGATCAAGAGGGGTTAATGTTTTTGAGTGTCACGGCAATGAGACCCATCTCTCCTGGTGTGCTCTCTCTTCATGGGGCAGAGCTGCATGCTCTCATGGGCAGGAAGCTGGAGTCATTTGTTCTAGTAAGAATCAATACATATTTACATTTTCAGAATTAATACAGCTTTAAATAACGGATCAGTAAGATGTCAAATCTTTATCTGTCCCACTTACTCATGAAGTAACCAAATCCATTTACATGGTCTTGGTCTCCAAGCCAGCCACAGTAGACCTACTGTTCAGAATGCCATTAAAAGCAGCCTTCTTACCAGAATCACCAAACATTCCTCACTTTTCAAACTGCCCTAACCTCCGCAAAGCTCCAGCACAACTGTAATCCCAAAATCCATCCACTTATTCCATCCTTATCTGCTTTCTATTTTCCTTCCATTACCCACCTCTTCATGCTGTTTTATAGGAGCCCTGGAGCTAATTCCAGCTCCACCCACCCTGTGTAACTGAACACACAAGTCAGTCCACATTCACATTCCTCATTCACAGCCCTTTCTGCCACAGATGTCCACACTGCAGGTTGTGCTCGTTTAATGTCCTAGTCACCTGTTGAGGTGCTGGCCGGTAACCAACCCCCATCTCCCCACATGTGGGCTGAGCTCACCTACCCAGTGCTGTCACAACCCTCCTAGAAACTAGAGCTGTTGTCAGCTAGTGAATATTTATATATTTATAGTATTAGAAGAGAGAGTAAGTGTGATGTTAGAATTTGATCTCCTAGCAAACTTCTTAAGCAAGACCATTCATAAAATTATGATGACTATTTTTAAAACACTACAGTATGTTGTGACATAATAAGCTGTGGTGTATCAAGTTAATTGTACAAACAAAAAATATTTCTGATAACCCCTCTGTGAGTTTGTTTTATTTTACTAATGTGTGACTGAAAATTAACATGATTATTAATTTTTATAGATTCCTCCCTGTCAGCTGTAGACGGTGGAGTCCGGCTGTCAGGAGGAGAGAGTCACTGTGATGGCCTGGTAGAAGTTCACTACAACAGGACCTGGGCGAGACTCATCCAGCACTCCTGGGGCTACAGAGAGGCCTCTGTGGTCTGCAGACAGCTGGGCTGTGGCTCTTTAGTACAAATACACCAGAACTCTGTGTATGAGACTGGCGACAGTGCTGTGTGTCTGACAGGTATTCAGTGCTCTGTAG